ATTAAAATCAAGATGTATCTCGTTGCATTCCACGAGTATCCTTCTAGTATTTATATAAATCAATTTAATTTCACCTGATGAATTATGAATACATTTAATTTTTATATATATTAAAGAAGAAACCATTATATATGATGTGCTTCTTCTAAAAGTTAGGAGCTCCTTTTATCTCTAATATTTTTTTTTAAATACTAATCAAGTTAAAGATTATTACGCCTTTATGGGCAAATTGAATGTTTCATAATAAATGTCAGTTTTTTGGTAATTTTGCATTCAACTTAAGTTTAAACTCCCAAACTATTCAACTTCTTGATAAGCATTCAACTTAAGTTTAAACTCCCAAACTATTCAACTTCTTGATAAGCAGTCAACTTAAGTTAACCTCTTAGACTATTCAACTTATTTATAGACGTTCATTTTATTATTTATTGCAATTGATTTACCTTCTCCAACTTTTTATCTCTCCATCTCTTTATTTTTCAATCTCTTCCTTTCCATTTAGTTTTGACATAAATTGTTATCAAGAAACAATTGCTTATGTTCTCGAAAACATTGTAATACGCACCTACGTTTTCAACCAGGACTATTTCAAAGCGAAATATTAGTACGGTGAAATTTTGACGCGAATGATAATTTTATATTTTTATGCCCTTTTCTCTCAGTTGCTCAAATTTTGATCTCTCGTTATCTTTATTTCTCAATCTCTTCATCTCCATTTAGTTTTGGCATTCAAGAAACAATCGATTATGTTTTTGAAAATATTCACACGCACCCAAGTTCAACCGGGACTATTTCATTGTGGAAGATTAGTACGGTGAAACTTTGCTGAGAATGGCATTTTATATCTTTCTGTCAATTTATCTCGATTGTTATAATTTTGGTCCCCGTATTCGTTTCTACACACGAATACAAACAGTTTGTTTAAATGTTCGAGGGTTTTTTCGGTTTGAATTCACATCAACAACATTCTCTATCCTAAAGAAGATAAAGATAAAAAAAAATTCTTCTTTATGTTTTCTGCAACTGCGTTCATCAAGTGAACTTTTTTTACTCTGCTATCTTATCATGCACCTACCTATGCAAATTACAATGTTTTTTTATGTCTTAAAATTTGTATTTTTGTAACTTAAATAAACTCTTTGTAACCCAAATGGGTTTTATTAGGATTTGCAATTAATCAAGTGTTGACAAAGGTTTCACGAAGTAGTTCATTTTCCAAGCTCAAACAATTTTTTTACAACATGGTCGTAAAAGTATTGCCAAAAAAATTAATATCGATATTTGTGAAAAATGCTAAACTAAGAAAATACAAAGTAAATAAAAATAAAAGTTTTTAATTTTATTAAATGTTGTTTAAACAATAGTTATTATAAATAAACCATAATATAGAAAATGAAATAATTAATCTTTAGTGAACACTTTTTAATTTGAAGTAAATAAAAATAATAAAAAATTAAGTGAATTATTTAAAAAAGAGTTTGATGTTGTACAAAATATAGCTACGTGTTTGTATTATATACAATTATACATATATGTTATATAAGGTTATGATTAAATTCAGTTCTTATTTGAAACAAGTTTGAGGTTTCAATGAAGGATATTTATCCTTATCTGTCACAACTTTAATAAATGTATTGTCTATTTTAGAATTTGTATATTTTTCAGATTTCAATAATTGGATTATTTATTTGACAAATTATAAATTTATGTTTTTTTCCATATGGTGAAGTAAGAATTAAGTTCGTTCCATTTTCTGAACTATGACCAAAAGTCTTAATCGATAAGAGGGAATGAATATGGTAAAAATAAAAAATCTTACCCGGTAAGAGTGAGACATGACCAAGAGTCTTACCCGGTAAGTGAGGGCGACAACTCTTACTCGAGTAAGCGCTTACCGGGTAAATTGTTGCATATGATACCGTTTTAGTGGATTAAAAATCTTATCCGTTGAGTAAATGGTGGTGTTAAATTTACCGGTAAGTGCTTACCGGGTAAGTGCTTGGTAAACGTCCCCTTAATTAACTTTTTAGTTACTGGCTCAATTGATGATATAGAGGCCGGCTAATAAAACTTTACAATTTTACATATGGATGATTAGATTTAAAAATGTAAAACAGTATAATACTTTTAGAGAATTTCTCAATTTTCAAACTATGTTTTTGAAAGACATGTATTTTGTTTGAGGATGTCTAATTTTCTTTTGTAATTATTGTTTTTTTGTTTGAAATAAAATATTATGAGGGGATTATAACTTTTTGTCTAGAACAAAACTCTTTTCGAGACATTATTTTATTTAATAAAATAAACAAAAGAATGTATAAAATTCCAGTTTAATATTAAGACAAATTACTTTTCATAAATGAAAAATATTTTATGTTCACATCTGACTTTTCAACCACAAAGTTCATATTAGCATAAAGATTAAGGGGGTGTTTGGTTGGGGGTATTAGACAATAATTAATGGGAATGATATTGATTGTATTAGTTTGGTTCAAAAAAGGAATGAAAATGAAATGATTGATGATGTTTGGTTACAATTAATGTAATCAGTCATTATAATAGAAAGGTCAAAAAACCATTCCACTCCAAATTGGGTGGAATGAACCAAATTAATCAATCCCATCGCCTCCTCCAACATAAACAACCTCTCATCGTCTTTAGTTCAATACGTTGAAGAGATGAGTCCTCTTACCATCTTGAAATTCATTATGTTGAAGAAATCTCTCGTGTTCCTCATCATGTGGGTTTGTTTCTATCTTCGATTTTGTTTGATATGTTCTCTGTGAAACCCTAGATAGATGCTAAAGAAATCAATCGATTTCTTTGTTTCTCATATCCGATTTTCTTCAGTTCAATACGTTGAACAAATCGAYCGATTTATTTGTTTCTCATCTTCGATTTTCTCATGTCCTTGTGAAACCCTTGATAGAAATCGAATTTGGGTTTTAAGAAGGAATCGGGATTTGGGTTTGTTTCTCGTCTTTCCATTTTGTTCGATTTGTTCCTTGTGAAACCCTTGATAGAAATCGAATTTGGGTTTTAAGAAGGAATKAGATTTGGGTTTGTGGAGATGACATCCTATCAGGTTAATACTTGATATAAAAAATATAAAATAGTGAGMTGTGGATGTGTTTTGTGTTGGTGAAGGCTGGAAGAGTGAGCCCCCATCCCATATGTCTGTTGCCGGCGGAGATTTTAGAGGGTTAGGTAGCGTGGTGTTAGGGACGATGGTGAAGGGAGGGATAAGAAAGAAAGAGGAGGGTGTTGTTGGGGGTTTTCGATCGGAGCAGGGAAAAGATCGGCCAGATGACTGTAGATGGAGGTTGCTGAGTGGTGGTGGTGGTTGTGAAGAGAGCCAGAGATGGTTGGGGGAGGGTCATCATAGGGACCAAAACCGCAGTGGTGGTGGTGAATTTCGTCCCAGCCTTCATCTGTGTTCTTCGTCCCAACCTTCATCTATGTTCTTCATCATTGTTCCACCTTCATCTATGTTCTTCAAAAAATCGATGTGATGTTTCATGGCTATAGTTTGGATAAGAAACAAGAAGAAAAATAGAGAGAGACTGTTATTGTAGGATGAGTTTTTTTAAACCATACATCAACAATGGAAAGTAATATAAAGCAATATAATATAATAAAATGGATATATTGATTTTTATTCCCTTATATATTCATTCCTATTTTCATTCCGATTCCTTGAAATGAACCAAACGCCCCCTAAATTGACGGTTGAGTGTCTGTCCATAAATAAAAAACCTAATAATTTTCATATTAAAAGAATCTAAAAATATATATAATTTATATCTAAAATATTTTTAGTACATTTGTTGTTTTATATTATATTTTACTAGTTAATTAACAAATTATGTTTCTTATACTGTAATTTATCGTGCTTTCTGACAAAAAAAAACGTTATCGCGCTACGCGCAGTGCATGCACTAGTAATTATTAAGACAAATAATATGTAAGTTTCAATAAATCTTATACAACTAAATCACACATTTAGAAATCACATCACCTGTGGTAGATCCATGCGCTAAAGACGATGATGAGAACTGCCCCCAATCTATAGATGATAACGGGCTCGGGGAATACCATGGACTCCCATCCCCATCGGGCAATAGGATTATATCCCCATTCCCATCAAGGAATCGTTGATATTTTCCCGTGTACATAATTTTTTTTACGTAATACCTTTATGCATACATTATATGTAAACACCAATTTCATGTTTAAATGACATAGCATGTTAAACTTTTAGTAAACTGTTTTTAGTTATTGTATATGTATAAGGATAACATCAAATAAAATCCGTTCAAACATAAATATATCAATTACAACACTTAATAATTAAAATTTTATACAACTACATTAGTGTCACCAAAATGATCCCCACAAAAAAGAAATCAATAACGTAATCCTCTTTACAACTTTATATCATCGAAATTTGATTATTATTATTATTATTATTATATATATATATATATATTATTTTATGGGTTTCTTACTTTTTTATTGTTATTATATATATGCATAAACTTTTTTAATTAGTAATCAGGGTATCGCCATCTCTGAACGACTTGGAGATTCCTAGGTCAGACCAGGTTCACGTATCAAGTTCTTCGTCGGGTACGGGTTCTTTTTGTTATCTCTACACCAAACACGTCAATCCTAACAAAGTTAAAAAAAATATATCCTCACCTTAACGAGTCGTGCCTGTAGCCTTGCACCCGACGTCCAAGACTCCAATTTGTGCTATCCGTCCCACTGGATCCACCACCTCAAACTGCACACTCGTCATTCTTCAACCATTCTGTACTTCAAAATCGGGATTCGAAGGAATACGTCTCATGGAGTCGGGGTAAATACCAATAGATTTAAAACATGAACCGGTGAGATCCAATATGGGTTAGAATTGGGTATAAAGTTATATAAAATACCACATCTATGGTTATATATCCAACTAACATTTTCTTTCACCCCTTCGCTCCGAATCTTAATTAAAAATTACAAAAACAAAACAATGCATTCAACACAATATATCACAAAATTGGAAATTTTCTTTTAAACGAAAAAGATCGGAATCAAGATGCATATCTTACATCTTGTATATGTCTCATAACTTATGTTCACCTAGTGATGGTAGTTTTGACCTTTGAGAATGGTCCAAGCTCTATAAAGTTGCTCAACCAGCACCACTAATGCAATCTCATGATTAAGGACCAAAGATGACAACTTTACCTTCACATTGGCTCTCTCCCTCAATTTCATTCCATGCCCATAAGCCCCTCCGATGCAAAACACCACTCTTGAACAACTTCCAGCATCCCCAATCAAGTCTGCCATTTCCTCTGATTTCAAATCCTTCCCATTCTCATCCAGCATCACCACCCAATCATCTTGTTTGATGAAATTCATGAAACCCATCTCTTCGTTTTCGATCTGGACCCTCCTGTCGATTGAATTCTTGGGGTTCGATCGGATTCGGAGGTCGTGAACCGGGCAGTAAAGTTTGAGCTTTTCCATGTAATCCTTGACTATCAACTGAACTCCTGGGGATCTAGTCTTGCCAACTGTTAGGATGTGGATTGGGAGTGGTTTTACGGATTGGCCTGTGTATTTGGATCCTCTAGTTTTGGCACCAGAATCAGGGACGTGGTGGTTCTTCATGTTGACAGTGGTAAAGACACACATGGCCATTCCCTTATCCACAAATACAAAAGGGTAATTTCAATCATAGGGTTAGCAAACGTTTAAGGGGCCAATTATATGCTAAAATCTCAGAAATTTTGGGGGTATTTTCTTGTAGGCATTTCGTCGAACATATAGCGAGCAAGTAGGAAAGACTTACAAGGGAAAGGTTAGAGAAACAAAACGGTCCAAGTAGACCCTCGCAAAGGGTGAGCTTCCGCTTTACTCAGTTCCAAAAGTCCCATTTTCGACTTTAACCAATGCTTTAATATTATTTATCAAAAGAGACAAAATTATTAATTTAGAGAAAATAAATTAGAAATATATTTTTCATATTTTATTATAAGAAAATTAATATTCCAATTACATATTTTCTACTAATTATATCACTTTTATGAGTTATCAAATTATAGTCTTGCCCGGCTGCATATGGGTTTGATTAACTGCGTGTGAAATTTAAACAACTCAACCTAATGTTTTACAAATAAGTTGAATCATACTAGAAGAGTACTCGCGTAATGCAGCGAGATACATATTGATTTTAATATTTCATTTTTTTCTTTATCTTAGTCGATGTTATAGTATGGTTTTATTTGATTTTGAAAAAACGATAATGTTTTTATTTTTGAATAAAATATAAATTTGAAGATATCATAAGAATTTGACAAAAATATATCGATATTAATATCAAATTAACTATTTAAAATTCTTATTTTTGTGTAATTTTTTAATTCAATTTTTTATTATAATTTAATTTAGGTTTAATAACGAAGTAATTTATATTTGGTTTAATAATATAATTTTCTTATAAAGATAATATATTATTATTTTGTTAGAATTCGATAATTATCCAAATCATATTTTAGATTTTTTATATTTTAAAATGAGATGTTTATCCTTTAATTGGTTATGTTTATCCGCAGTTAATTACGCGAATTCATACATGGAGTTTTAATAAGTTGTACTTATGCATAATTTACTTGTAATATTGAATTTTAAGTAATATTCATCAATATACAGTATTTCATGCATAAAAAATGGCTTTTTAAAGTTTTTGTCAAATGCGTTATAATATAGTATAGATGAGTTGGGTTGGGTTGGTCGGCATCATTTGAAAATTTTGGTACATTATTTTACAATGTTTCTGTTTAAACGAAATAAATCAAAATAAGAATATAAAAAAAAAACTCAAAAAGAGAAAGTTGAAAATTAATACAAATTAGAAAGTACAATTACGGTTGAAATTGTAATATAGCGAATTACATATTGGTCTAATGTCTAATATACATATATTAAATACATATTATAGAAAAGACACCAAACTAATCGATGAGGTTTAATCTAATTTTGTATCAACTATGTGTTAGGTTATCTCGAGTTGAATTTTTTTAGGTTTTTCGAGTTGAATTGGTCTGGTTGGTTAGTATTTTGAACACCATGCGATGAGATTGACTAGGTTGGTTGGGTTTACCAACTTCTAATCAGGTTGGTTAGCATAATATGGCGGTTAACATTCCTTTCTCGATCTGTTTCTCCATCATTTTTTATCTATACTGTATTATAAAACATTTGACAAAAACTATTAAAAACAATTTCTTATGCATGAAGTACTGTATATTGATGCATATTACTTAAAATTTAAGATTACAAATAAATTAAGTATAAGTACAACTTATTAAAGCTTCATGTTTGAATTCATGTAACTAACTGTGGATAATCATAATCAAATAGATGATAAACATCTTATTTTTAAAATATAAAAATTCTAAAATACAATTAGGATAATTATYGAGTTTTAACAAAATAATTAATTTTTATCTTTATAAGAAAATTATATTATTAAACMAAATATAAATTACTTCGTTATTGAACCTAAATTAAATTATAATAAAAAATTAAATTAAAAAATTACACAAAAAATGAAAAAAATTAAATAGTTAATTTGATACTAAAATCTATATATTTTTGTCAAATTTTTATGATATCTTCAAATTTATATTATATTCAAAAATAAAAACATTGTCGTTTTTTCAAAATCACATAAGACCATATTATAACATCGATTGAGATAAAAAGTAAAACGAAATATTAAAATCAAGATGTATCTCACTGTATTGTGAGAGTACCCTTCTAGTTTAATTTAAAATTAAACATACAAAAACATAATCAATTACATTTTTTGTCGCTATGGTATCATGGTTTGAACGGACACCATGTCAAAAAAAAAAATTGTTATACCCGAAATTGAATAGCTCATTAAAAGCCCGATTCATTAATACCTTAGAGTAACTGTAACATTTTTCTCTGGTATCTATAACACCCTCAAATTTGGAAAGAGCAACTATTTTTTTTTTCTTTTGATAAAGCGTCAAATAAGGATAAAGTCTCTTTCTAAAAGTCAACACTTGATTACCTATAATGGCAATTATGTTTAACCTCAATAAAAAATACTTCAACCTTACACATAATCTAAATTAGGAAAGGGTGCGACTAAACACAATAATAGTTGTTATCTTCAAACATATGGAAGACGTCCCCAAATAGCTAGATACTTCTCGTGCCTTTAATTAACAGTCGATTAATCACAATGTTGCTAGTATCAAACCCCAACAAAGACCTGATGCGCATGCCAACAAATAAAAGGGGTTAGATTTAACGTCTAGTGAGTTCAAATAGTTTTCATCACAAATATAAAAGCGGTAAAATTGAAAGATGTTATTCAAATCACAATTTCCAACATGAAATATTTTTAATATAAAAGCAACATCCTGTCGAAAACCCATAATTTTCGTGATGAGAACACATTTATCAAAACGTCCCTCTATTCATGAAACTAAAGCTCAATATTCACCCGATAGAACTGATCATAAGGATCAATGGCTGAAATGAGATTAATTATTCGCGATTCATAGTTCAAAACCTCTGATGATCTCATGTACACTCATTCACTATAAATTACATCATGTGGCTAATGATTGGTATATGGTTCCCATAAGATCGTACCAAGTTTTCCCCGATTACCCATTGCCTATTTCTAGCTACAATACGGGGATAATTATCCTATAAAAACTAACTCAAAAGTTACATCATACGACCAATGGCTAGAGTTCATCCAACATGTGATTTATAGTTCAAAGTCTTCGATAACACAATGTTTATACCCGGCCACAATGCAGGAATGACCGTCCCATTTTGAATCAATAAAGACTGACTCATATACCTATGGATCCACTACATTACAGTCTAAATTACATTCCCTCAAATGAATGATCACACACCCAAAGCATGTAATATATCAAATGAATATGTTATAACTGCATATGACTTGAAAGCTTGACATATAGCAAATAAACCGGATAAAAGTCCCAAGACATCTCAGTCAAAACCGAGTCATGAGCTCAACAAGCCAATTGACTACCAATAAGAATCATCATAGTCAATAAAAAAGTATTTAACTAGGATTTATGCAAAGACGCCCTAAAGACACGATTAACTCAAAAACCCATCATTAGTTGGGACAAAACCATTTTTCAGTTGAAATTATACCATTTACAGTACCAAAATGCCCTATAACGAAACAATATGCATTTTCCAAACCAAATGTACTAAAAATGCATTAACACCAAAATAATATTCACTTATAAGATAAAACTATCAAAAGACCCACACTTATGATTGATAAAAATGTCTAAAAGCCCACAAGATTTATAAAACCAAATACACTCAAGATGCATAATTCATCAAAAATCGACACAATTGATAAACATCAAGAAAACATCTTAAGACTTCAAAATAAACATTTTGGCATGTACATAGTTTTCACAAAATAACTTGAACTCATCTTGATAGGTTAAGTTAAACCTAAGTTCTAAATCCCTCTCAAGCTTCTAAAATGGCGAAGACTTAGATCCACAAACATCCATCTCTAGAAACTTTATTTGAGTCTCAACCAAACCTCAAAATGTACCAAAAGTAAACCCAAAATCATATTCATAAACAAACTTTAGTCGAATCCTCAAATTACCAAAAACCAAAATTGGTCAAAACTTCAAAATATGGAAGATACATCAAAAAAGATATTCTAGGAGGTTAAAATGAAATGTTTTGACAGTAATTAAGTTTAGAAGGTTTAGGATTAACTTACAAATCATTTTTAGGGGAAAGACAAAAAATTAGATCGACAATGGTGAGAAGATGGTTGAACAAGAAGAACTTGAATCTTTGATCTAACTTGAAATCTTGATGTTTGGAAGCTTTTAAATGCTTTGAGAAGATGGACAAATGCTCCTTAAACGAAATGAAAGAGGAGAGAAAAGGTCTTGGAAGTGAGAAATGGGAAAGAAAGGGAAGAAAACGGGATTTAAAGGACACTCCCCTCCAGCTCCAATTTTCTACCCAACTTCACGCCGGTCAAGGTTTTCCCTGCACCTGCGAAAAGCTAATTTTCTGTCACTTGGTTCATTCTTGATTAAATTCATACCCAATCACCACCAAACATCAGAAATACTTAATCTTACTATTCCAAGAGTAAAATGAAGGTAAGGTTTTTACTTGCTTAATATTTTCCGGATGTTAAACATCCATGAGTGATTATAAGATTTTGCAATAAAAAAAATGCATGTATAAGAATTACATATCATCTTACAAACTTCTCTCTACTTTTATTTAAAACTAGAAGGATACTCGCGCAATGCAGCGAGATACATCTCGATTTTAATTTTTTATTTTATTATTTATCTATGTTGATGTTATAATATAATTTTATGTGTTTTTAAGAAAGAAATAATGATTTTATTTTTAAATAAAATATAAATTTGAAAACATCGTAAAAATTTGAGAAAAATATCAATGTTAACATCAAATTAACTATTTAAAAGTTCTCATTTTATATGTAATTTATTTATTTTTATTATAATTTAATTTAAGTTTAATAATAAAATAATTTATTTTTGGTTTAATAATATAACATTATATAAAAATAATAATTAAGTATTCTGTTAGAACTCAATAATTGTTCTAATTATATTTTAGATTTTTTATATTTAAAATAAGATGTTTATTCTGTATTTGATAATATTTATCTGTAGTTAGTTACACAAATTCAAATATGGAGCTTTAATAAGTTATACTTACGCACAATCTACTTGTAGTATTGAATTTTAAGTAACATGCATTAATAAATAGTATTTTATGCATAAAATATGATTTTTAAAAGTTTTTATCAAATGCTTTATAATAAAGTATAGATTATGCAACTATAACATTTTTTTAGAAGACTTTAACAAAAAATATTATTAAAATATTTAATACATTGTTAATCTTGAAGATACTAAGGTGGTAAAAAAACCACGAAAGAATCCATTTGATTTTTAGGATATTTACCGCATTTGATAAAATAAATAATTAATAAATCATTCCTTGATTCATATATCACATATAATGATAGAATATCTTGAAAATCAGAGCATAAAAATTCACATCCCTAAATTTTCTCTTAACAAATGTTTGATAACTTTTGTATGACGCTTGTCGTCTAAACGTGCTGCCCAAGTCCATCAAGGGTTTATTCGGAATTTTGCCACGACGACCAACATATGCCGTTAGATCAAAGTGAATCGGACGGTCCATAGAAAAACCCTAAGCGATGGACGGTCAAGGGTGAGTCTCGGCTGTTTCAGCTGTAGTATATAAACCACCGGTACTGTAATATTTTCATTGCGCTTTGAATTTGGCTGCTCTTTTCCGTTTCTCAACCTCTTTATCGGAGTAAACTGAGGTTCGATTTCTTCAGTTCTTCGCCTTTATTTCGTTGTGAAATCTATGATCCGCATGTGTTGTTTTGTGTTAATTTGTATGAAGTAATTGATTGATTGTTTTGCTGTAGATTGTAACTTATGGTGGAACTATAGGTTTCGATCATATTTCGTTATTTGTTGAGTTTGATTATGAATTTATGTGCTTTGTGACCGTGTTTATCTGATCACTGTTTTCTGTTCTTAAAAAATTTCAACGATAATTGCTAGTTAATAGTACTGTACTTTATATTCTGCAAGGTGATGATCAAACACATGATTTGAATCATCTCTTCCAAAACAAGATTGGATTTTAATCTGATCAAAATTTGGGAGAAGTCATAGAGCTTTCAAATGACCAGACATCTGATAGCTATATGACTTCTCCTGAATTTTAATCGGATCAGATTCAATTCAGAAAGAATGACCCAGATTATGTTTTCGATCACTGCTTCCCTTTTGTTAAGTTGGTTTTACAGAGTATGCCATGAAAATTTCTCTTGATTTTTAACTTACTACCTAGCAATTCTCGTTTAACGTTGACGTTTTTATATCATCATACTATATCTATTGGAAACGATTTATGTAAATGAATGCAGTTTGAGCATTTTGCAGATATAAAATATATTTGTAAAATTTGACTTTCAAATAATCCTTTGGACCCTACATACGGAATTTTTTCCTTGGTTGGACAAGGTGTAGCTTGCCAAGGAACGTGACACGTTACCAGATCATATTGAGCCACAACTTTTTTGTGTTACGAAGGCTAAATTTTATTAAAATTTGTAAAAAAAAATTTATCAGTTTGCAGCATTAAATCTTCTTCAATGCAATGCATGCTTTTGTTGCATCAGTTTCTTTATAATTTATTGTTTTTAAATTGAGATGCTTTTGTCCTGATCTTAAGAGTAGAGGGTTAGTAAACATACGTTATTACTTGTTAATGTGTTCATTAGTTGTTTATTAATTTTATGTGCAATTTGAGGAAGTCATTTGTTTCTATATAATTTTTTAATTGGAGAAGCAAAAGTCAACAATTTTTATAAAGAAGTTACATTTAATTCCAAGATTTCTTTATTTTATATTTTTAAAGTTTATTGCAATGGTATTATTAAAATATTGAATGCAATTAGTATTCAATAAGCTTTTAAAACATTTTTTTTAATAATTTGCAATTGTATTATTGAATCCTATATGATCGTCTATGTAGTTGTCTGACTGATTTTATATCCTCAATATCAACCAGCTCGGTTTCGTCATGGGTAAGGAAAAGGTTCACATCAACATTGTTGTCATTGGTCATGTCGACTCTGGAAAGTCGACTACTACCGGGCACTTGATCTACAAGCTTGGAGGTATTGACAAGCGTGTGATTGAGCGTTTTGAGAAAGAAGCTGCTGAGATGAACAAACGTTCTTTCAAGTATGCCTGGGTGTTGGACAAGCTTAAGGCTGAGCGTGAACGTGGTATTACCATTGATATTGCCTTGTGGAAGTTTGAGACTAACAAGTACTACTGCACTGTCATTGATGCTCCTGGACATCGGGATTTTATCAAGAACATGATCACTGGAACCTCTCAGGCTGATTGTGCTGTTCTCATTATCGACTCCACCACTGGTGGTTTTGAAGCTGGTATATCCAAGGATGGTCAGACTCGTGAGCATGCTTTACTAGCCTTCACCCTTGGTGTCAGGCAAATGATCTGTTGTTGCAACAAGGTATCAAACAATTTTGAATCATTTTATTATGATGTGGCACTGTTATATTGCATGAGCGGTAATGTAGCGACGAAGTCGGCCTACATCTTACCTTTCAGACCCTATATTTGTGAGATTTACGGTTTGGTTTAAGTTATAATGTTCTGTATTTTGCAGATGGATGCTACGACACCCAAGTACTCCAAGGCTAGGTATGATGAAATCATTAAGGAAGTGTCATCCTACCTCAAGAAAGTTGGATACAATCCTGACAAAATCCCATTTGTTCCAATTTCTGGTTTTGAGGGAGATAACATGATTGAGAGGTCAACCAATCTCGACTGGTACAAGGGTCCAACTCTTCTTGAAGCGCTTGACCAGCTTAATGAACCAAAGAGGCCATCAGACAAGCCTCTTCGTCTCCCACTCCAGGATGTTTACAAGATCGGTGGGATTGGAACCGTGCCAGTTGGCCGTGTTGAAACTGGGGTCATCAAGCCTGGTATGGTTGTTACTTTTGGCCCATCTGGTTTAACCACAGAAGTGAAGTCGGTTGAAATGCATCATGAGGCACTCCTTGAGGCGTTGCCGGGTGACAATGTTGGTTTCAATGTGAAGAATGTTGCTGTGAAAGATCTTAAGCGTGGTTACGTTGCTTCAAACTCCAAGGATGATCCAGCAAAGGGTGCGGCAAATTTCACTGCTCAGGTCATTATCATGAACCACCCTGGCCAAATCGGAAACGGATATGCACCTGTGCTCGATTGCCACACTTCTCACATTGCCGTTAAGTTTGCTGAGCTGTTGACCAAAATTGACAGAAGGTCGGGTAAGGAGCTCGAGAAGGAGCCAAAGTTTTTGAAAAATGGTGATGCAGGTATGGTGAAGATGATTCCGACCAAGCCCATGGTGGTGGAGACGTTTGCAGAGTATCCTCCTCTTGGACGTTTTGCTGTGAGGGATATGCGTCAAACTGTTGCTGTTGGCGTGATTAAGAGCGTGGACAAGAAGGACCCAACTGGTGCCAAGATAACTAAGGCTGCTATCAAGAAGAAGTGAACCGGCCCTGTGAGGAATCTGAAACTTTTTAAGTTTATTATTGTTTTGTTATGTCTTTTGAGTTGGTGTGATGGTATGTTTTATGGTATTTGCTGCCATCATTTACCGCCATTTCTAGGAATGGTGGTTCTGTTGCGCTTCCGAGTTCATACTTGGGTGCTTGACAGGCGGTGGCAGAGGCTATGGATCTTGGATTGAGTCTTGAGTTATCAACTTCTTATAAAAACACTATATTTATGGATCCTTTTATTTTCATTCACGGTCTTTTTGAGATATAATTTTGTTTGTTTGTTTGTGGGCATGGGGAAAAACACAATAAAGAAGTAAAACTCATAGGGGAGGCAAACCGGGGTTGTGGTAAGGGGATGGTCACTTGTTGCTTATATAATTTATTAGTTTAGTTGTATGATCTTAGCCATAAATAATAAATATTTCCCAGCTATTAGAAACTCACACTTCTCCAACCAAAGCTGAAAGCTGGAGATTCTTCCCTAAAGTTGTTCTCTCTTCTTCAAACCTGTGATATCTTCCCTCAAAGCACGATTGCCTCAACGATCTTAGCCCTTAAAGCAAACCTTCTCTAATCTCTCTCTGTTAATCTTCCCTAATTGTTTGAGTTTTTTTCCTTTCTTGAGGGTGATTTGTAATTAGGTATTCTTGCTTGTTTCTGTTTTGGAGATTTTGGTCCAACGATGGATGGTATGGAAAGTTGGACAAGAGAAGAAATCATATATGAAATGGAAAGTTCACTGGTTCATACAGTTTAGTTCATTTGTTAACCCACAAAAATGTATCAACTTTATGACTTTTTAGATCAATTGCAGCTCATTTTATTCTAAAGTTCAACTTTATTCACGAAATTAATGTTAAGTATATGTGTGTAATTTTCTTTTTATATAACTAATTGGAGGTTAGATTGTCATAATATCCCATGATTTTTTCTATTTTAATATTGTTCTTAATTTTCCAGATTTTTAATGATTTGGTTAAGAGTTGAGTGACAGAATTTCATTATAATATTTATAATTTTGTGGTTGGTGGAGAAGACCCGATAGCAAAGTGAACATATTTTTTATAGATGTACAATGTTCATTGTCTATTAACATATGAAAAGATACAACAACCAAATGAACTTTTGTGAACATATATATATCCAAGCAATAATCATAACACATGTAAACATATACCAATATTCAAACATATTGTTCATAAATGAACCCATTGTTTATAATTATTCATGGGTGAACCAATGTTCATAATGATGTAGATTATGTTATTAATCACAAAGATTAATATACAAGTGACACTTATAGAACATTAATATACACAAACGATTACAAAATATTAATATACACATAGACAGTTACAAAACATCTATTTTTATGATTTTTTTCCCCAATAATTCTGTTGCTTGTATATGTTCATTTTAGATGGTAACATATTATATTTTGAGTTGTTACAAAATTGTCATCATAAATATCATCCATTGATTTACGAAATGAATGGTTGTGACAAGTTTATAAAATTAACATTATAAATTGGGTTAACAAAAGAACCTATATATATATATATATATATATATATATATATCAAGGTTTTGAGTTTGATATTTTGGAGATGAAATTGTTTGGAATTGGATTTAATAAACTTTTAAATTGATATTTTTAATATACGAAGTTATTCATTCATTATTTTTATCAAACAAAAATATAGCCTAGGAGTAAAATGGTTATTTTTTGACATTAAAACTGTTTATTCAACATAACAACCGAACAACAAGTTAATTGTTATCATACAGACAACTTTATCATATAGGTTTTAATGAAAAAAGAACTGAACAACCCGTAAATGATGTTCATGTGGACAGTCACCAAATATTTTCTTTTTGGTCAACACTCCAACCTCTTACTCAACTTTTATATGGAATTTTTTTATATAAATAAATTTTTAATTTTATTTTAATGATTTATTTAAGTATCAGTTTAATTGATCTTTTAGGAAATCTATAGTTATTCGGAATGTAAAAACAATTTAATCGTCCAATATATGAAGAAAAAAAAAAGTTAGGCCTTTTAGACTTCTTCTTATGATTTTATAATATTAACCAATTTTATAGATCAAAATAGTATATTTAATCTGTTTTAGAAAATCTAGATATTAAGAATTTTCTAGATTTATAAAATCTTGAAAATATAAAAACCGTTACTACTGAATATTAATTTTAATTTTTTTTATTATTTAAAACTACAAAAGATCCGTCAAAGATTCTTTTATTGAATCGGGACACGTGTAAAAAGTTGAGAATCTGGTAGATTATCCGTGATATGTGTAGATTGTAACAGTCATATGAACTATCCAATTGTATTAAATATGTGGTTATATGTAACTTCCACAATTTTTTATTATAAAACAGAGTACGTTACATCGCATGTTTCATTTTCTACCATATAGTTACAGTGAATTACACTCTTACACCCTATGATTTACACCAAATTACGTATCTTATTTTTATACTGAAATAATTATGTTGAGAACATCTGATATCTACGGTTTGCACTCTGATTCAAGTTGATACCTCGTCCTAATTCACGCGACTCTTGATCCATCAACTCAAAGATAATTCGGTCAATTTATCTTCTTCTTTTTTTGTTAAAAAAATAATAACAATATATTATATATTAATTGACAGATTGAATTATATATACATATATAAACATTTGCACGAAACAAAGACAGACATCTCCTTGTAGCCTCTCACCGTCAAACTTTCGTTTGGGTTTTGAGTTTCTATGAAGAAGTTTCAACAAACTTCAAAGATGGTATCTTTAAACTATACAGAAAAACCGTTTATAATTGTTTGAAAAAGATTTGTGACAACAGTTGTTTTAGGCCCTGGCTCTGATATAATTGATAAGTCATAAATAATAAAATCACATCCAAACCGCCCGATATATTTGTCATATATCTTTATTTGGTGAATAAGAGGTTGTTTGTTTACCTCTTAATAGTTCAATTAAGAGACAACTTCTGAATCGTTAAGAGGTGAATCTTGTTTAGCAAAAAAAAAAAGTCTACCTCTTAATAGTTCTAAAATCCTCTGAATGATTTTGTATCATGGATCTCTCTTAACCATTAAGAGCTCTAATTTCATTGTACACAATTATCAAACAATTATATTTCATTTTGTACTATATTATGAAAGTCTTTTAATCATTCTGACTAATTAATCATTTTACATCAAATCATGCAGTAATCGTTAAACAGCTACTAATTAAGTAAAAGGAAGTTTGGGTTCATGGATATATAAATTAGCCACGTGGATGTTGGTTTAAGTGGACGGATATGGTGGTTAGGACTTGTGAGTGGGGTTGATTTTGGGAGAATATTACGTACAATTTAAAGAATTTCTTTCTAAATATTATTTTCGGCTTTTCCAAAGAGATTATGGTTTGTTATTTTGATTAAAAGAATGTAATGTAACAAATTCATCAAATTGTTTTAAAATAAAAATTAAACTGATATAATAGTTATAGGCTATTATTGAATAAATTATTAATAGAAACATAAATTATTAACTGATTCACGTCACATTATCTTGTTATAAGAGTATTATGTGAGAAATAAATAAGATACACAAATGTTATGTTTGATAAACTAGCTGATAGCTGATAAACTAGTTGATTTCATATCATGTTTGACAAAAACTAGTTTATAAACATGTAAAATGACTAAAAATGCATCTTGAAAAATTAATCAATTACAATATTTTATAATGTAATTAAAACAAATTTTTAAACGTATAATATGTTAATTAATACCAAAAAAATTATAAGAAATAAATAATATAATATGTTGACTAGAAGAATTTCAAATTGATTATTATAAAGTTTGGATTTGATAAAGAATTTTAGAAAGAATAAAATATATTAATTTATGACTTTAAATAACCCTTAGATGTATTTTGAATAAACATTAAAAGTGTCCTCCTTATTTATTCTAATTGATTCATAATTTTTCAAAATATATAA